TCATTATATTCAACTACATAAATTTCCATTTTATTGATATAGTCTATTTTGGAGCCAAATCTCCTGCTTTAGATTCTTAGATTGCTGTTAAATTTTCTGCATTTATTGATAGAGATGCAAACAGAATTTTTAAAGCTATGATTATTCCCTTAGGATGAAAGACTATAAGTGATCTAAGAAATACAAAAAATTCTAAAGTTCTTAAAATATATTACCAAACAGCTCCATCCCTGCCCCTACCCAAGACACTGAATTAATGTATACTACCACTAATAACGTATTAAAGTGGCTCATTACTCGACACCTTCCCCAATCCTTCCGCTGCTATTTAAACATACACACAGACACACAAACACGCTTTTCCTCTATAAGGGCAAATGTATCCCATTATTGTCTTAATTTGCAATTAATGATTAATAAACTTGAACATTTCCTAATATAGTTTTGATCTCTTTTCGGTATGTTCACTATTTCGTATGTAAAAGTGCTTTAAATAACAAGAATTCTAACTCTTCATCAGACATATTCCAGAAAATGTTTTATCTTTTTGCTATTTGTTTTAGAATTTTTTAAATATTTTAGACAGATAAATTTCAAACTTTCATGTGGTTATTCTTATAAATATTTTTTTCCATCATAATTTCTAACTCTGATCTCATGCTTGGAAAATACTTTTCAGATGTGTTATCAATATTGTAAGTAAAAAAGCAAGTTGCAGAACTATATATACAGTGTGATTCCATGTGCACAAAAGAAAAATATCAGAGTGTGTGTACATGCATATATAAATGTGTGTGTATGTATGTTTGTTCAATGCTTATAGAGGTCTGGAAGGATACACACCAAATTTAAGAGCAAACATTCCATCTTAGGAGAAAAATGGGATTGGCATAAAGGGTAAATATAGAAAAGTTTTATTTTTTTTAATTTGATATACTTCTTTATTGTTTTTTAAAAATGGACCAATAACTACTATTTCTCCTTGAATAACAAGTAAATTTTAAAAATTGCTACCTGGTAAAAGGTAAGAAAAATCTACCTTGACACAAAAGTAGGAAGCTTCTATTCTGTAAGAAGTATTGAGAAAAGTAACTTCTGTACTCCCTCCAGCCCCTCACTTCCTCCTACCCCCAAGAAAAGGAGTAGCTCTTATAATTGAGATGAAATACATAGAGCTCTTTTCCTGCTTCCAAGTGCTACGTATTAATACATTTGGGTCATGGTCCAGCCCACCTACTAAAAACAAGTATAGAGGTCTGTCTCTCTTTCCCAATCATTGACACTTTAAGGGATGAGGCAACAACTCAACAATTAGGAGTAAATGTTTCAGGTCCACAGCAAGGTCTAAGGTAGGGGAGAAATACAATACTAGGAAGCCCAACCACAGGCGCACACAGTTGAGCTTTATCAAAAACAAAGCTGATATTTTATTTTATCTCCATCTGTCTGACCCCTGCATCTACTACTCAATTGGTTCTGAATTCACAAAGGAAGTAAGGGGGATAAGTGAGTGTATTATAAGATTATATAAAACTGGGTATCATTTTTACGCATTTGCAATTTATTTATCTAGCGAAGCACTGGGTTATGGTATGAAATTCAGTCAAGTTCCCTACCTGCTGCTTATCTTGTAACGCATTTTGAGCTGTGTCCAAATGATTCTGAAGATCAGCTCTTTGAGCAGTTTTTGCTGCTTCTGCTGATAGCAATAATTCAGTTTTGGCTTTAATCTGTAAAAAAATTACAAATTATTTAATTCACATTTAGTTTTGATTTCCCCTTACTTGAATGCATATTGCTTTTGTCACTAAACTATTTAAAAATTAAGTCCTTTGGCAAAAAACATAAGGATTTAGACATTGAAAAGTATATATGTGAAAATCCCCCAAATAGGAATGAGTAGGGGAGAAAACTTCTAATGATGTTTGGATAAACATAATGAAAAGATGTTGTCTCTGCATGACACCAAAACACTTTAGTACCCTTTGCTAAGAAAGAAAAGGTATACCTTTTTACTGAGAAGGGCCACTGTATTTTTCAGAAGTGAATATTTGAAGCCTACCACTTTCTGATAAAGCAAATAACTATGTCAAAAAAAAAAAAAAATGATGACTCCAAAGAT